CTGTGGTTTCAACCTTTTGCTTCAGGTGTGTGAAATGTCAGAGCAGATATTCCACCCAGGAGGCCCTGGAACAGCATCTACTGACTGCCTCGCACAGCTTTCCCTGCCCGCACTGCCAGAAGGTGAATTCTACTTCTGACATTTTTTTTAGTTAGTTAACAGTAATTGTCTCCCCGTGCTTTCATTTCTTGACCTTAAAACGTGCAATTCTTCAGCTCGAGTTTTACATGTGTGGTGTCTGATTCGCTCGCCAGGTGTTCCCGTGTGAGAGGTACTTCAGACGCCATCTCCCCACTCACGGCGTCGGAGGGAGGTTCAAGTGCCAGATCTGCAAGAAGGCCTTTAAGACTGAGCACTACCTCAAACTGCACACTCGCATCCACTCAGGTCCGAAAGAAACTGAAAACATTCCTAGAACTTTGCAAGATTTTCTCAGAACAAAGAATTCTGGCTGGACTTCCCAGTTAGCAATGAGACGTTTAGCTTTATCAAAGTGAAGGTGTGAGTTTGACGCAGATTTCGTTTTCCAGGTGAAAAGCCTTACAAATGTTCCCTCTGTGAGGCGACGTTCAACAGGAAAGACAAAGTGAAGCGACACATGCTCATCCACGAACCCTTTAAGAAATACAAGTGTCCCTTCAGGTGAGGCTCTCCACTGACATAGTTCCACTTATATTCTTCCTCCTTCATCTGTTCCTTTTCTCTCACCTCGTCCCATTGTTTACCTTTTAATCGTACGATAACTTTTCTGTTTCCTCATCAGGACACACGTCGGCTGCACCAAAGAGTTCAACAGACCAGACAAACTCAAGGCCCACATCCTGTCACATTCTGGTGAGCCGTTTGCACAAATAAAAAAACGTTACTGAGCCATAGACAGCAAAATACCACTCACCACAGTTTTTATTTCGTAATGCTCTGAACGCTCCTGATTATATTCTCACTGATATGAAGCCCTGAACCTTTACTCAAACAGCTCAACTGGCTGTAAGTAGAGACGACTCAGAGGTGTCATTTGTGCTGCATGACACAGTTATAATGCTATAAATCATCAAAAAGAAATATACAAAAAATGCTTTAAATACAGTCGTGACTGGATAATCCGACACTAAATGTAAAACCTTCTTCTATGTCGGATTGTCAAGAAGGAGGTCCAGATACGAGGAGGGCTTGATGCTGGAAGGCTCATTAGTTGTTCATTATTGTTCATAGTTGTTATAATAACTAGTAGGGCTGGTCCCAGTAGAACTTTCTGCTCTCTGGATGTTCAGGTCTGATTAATGATGAATATCTGAATATTTGGCGTGGTCGGGGGACACTTCCACCCCGTCGGAGTGCTCCCCCTAAATATGTTCAGACAGCAGACTGAAGTGACCCAAATCCGAATTGTTTTGCCCCATGTGACCTGTATATGGTCTTTTCATGACAGTCTGAACAACACAGATCCAATTAATGATGAATATCAGAATATTCGGTGTGGTCGGGGGACACTTCCACCCCGGGGCAGCGCTCTGTTCATTACAATACTTACCAGATCAGATATCGGTGGGAACCCACATGTACCAATCTTGCTTCTTATCTTCTGTCTTTCTTACAACCTGCTCTCTCCTCCAGGTATCAAACCCTACAAGTGTTTGTTCTGTCAGAAGGCGTTCAGCCNGCTTTTTGAAATAAGTAACGTCTTGTTAATAATGTGGGTTAACGTCCTCAGAAAAGTCTTCTAGTCATCATCAGTGAGTCGGCTGCTTCATACTGCTCACATTTTCTTGTTACAGTAGTCTGACATCAAAACAGATTGCTTTTTATACCGGACAGTTGTAAAAGTAGTAAAGGTTACTCATCCATCATCACAGTATTTTCATATCCTTCTTGACTGCAGAAGCACCGGGGGATCTGGAGGAGAGCGTGACCGAGGCTCAGGCGAATCCGGACGTAAGCCAAAAGGGAGACGTGCAGAACGGCCATCCTCAGGTCCAAATGCAGGTGCAGTCCAACCAGAACCAGCAGTGTCAGACTCAGACCAAGCAGATTGTTGTGATCGACAGCTCCTACCAGTGCCAGTTCTGCGCCAGCAAGTTCAAGACCTACTTCCAGCTCAAGTCGCACCTGACGCAGCACAAAGGGGAGCAGGTGAGTGCAGACAAAGGTACAAATCGTGCATGAGGAACAAATAGAAAGCAGATGGAAGATGTACATTCTAAAACAAATGTATGCATTGAAAAAGAACACGCTAAGTTCTACGTTAAAGATCAAACCGTCCAGGTTCAGTGACTGTTGCACATCTGCTTCCGTGCAGGTTTACAAGTGCGTGTTGAAGTCCTGCTCCCAGACCTTCCAGAAGCTGGATCAGTTCTTGGAGCACATCCGGACGCACCAGGAGCAGCTGACCTACCGCTGCCACCTCTGCAGCAAAGTGTTCCCCTCCCTGTTTGAACTGGGAGTCCACCAGTACTCCCATTGCTTCTGCCCACAGCAGAACACACGCAAGGAAACCACCGTCTACAGGTCAGCTCAGCCTCTCTTGGCTGTTTTACACGGCATGTTGACACGTTAACACAAAGTTAACTGAACGGACTTCAGTGTTTTTGATATAAAATAGAGAAAAAGGGGAGTTTAGGCAGGAGGAGAAAGTCTGTCACTGGGTAAACTTCTCAAGCACAGAGGGAAACTGATGGTGCACTTCATCACAGCACACACAGATATCAAAGTATGTTGTGAGAGAGTCTAATGTACAATGTCTGACTCTGTGGAGCACAACATGTGTTCTGCAGTCTTTTCGGATGTCCGGTAAAACCGAGTGGGATTGAGGCTGAGTGCCATAAATAGAGAGGAGACATGGAAAAGCAGACACACATGGTTAGTTTTGGTGTTTTGTTTCATAGGTTTTGTTGTTGTATATACAGTCGTGGACAAAAATGATCAGACCACCTTGTTTTCTTTAATTTCTTGTTCATTTTAATGCCTGGTACCACTGAAGGTACATTACCTGAAGAATACAATGCAGCTGATCCCATCATACTTTATGTCCTATGTGACATGCTTCAGCTTCATCATGTTCCCTGTAGGGTCTATAAGAGGCCGTTTCATGTCATCAGCAGCACATGCAAAGACCTGCAGTGGTTTCCTGCTGACATTCAAGCACAACTCAAAAGTTATCAGCTCTCACATAACGCCTAAAACAGAAGAGTTATGTGAAGCCACAAAGGCAGCCATCTTGGCTCTGCTGGAAATGAATGAGAGACACGTAGAGAAACACCTGAAGATCTCCAAGACAGCCGCTCATTACACCAAGAAACAACAACATGGTGCTACCACATTGCTAGCTGGTGGTGGCAGGAAACGTCTTTCTACCCACCAGATGACCGAGCACTCATCTGTTCTGTGTCAGGAATCGTGGTCAGCTCTGTTTCTGGCAGCACGATGCCATAGCTACTGATGGAGGAGCTTAGTGGTTATTATTCTACCAGTTCCATATTCTACTGGGGGCGCTGCGCTGCGTGAGCGACTCCTGACAGGCTTCGTGTGTGTGTGAGGGGGAAAGTGCGTGTTTTTAGCAACTTTTACTGCCTGTGTTTTTTTTGAGGGCATCATGTTAACAGTAACAGAGTTTTATCTGGCCTGCCTCTGGCTTTTGATCATCGGCCCACGGCATGTAAACGGACTTTATCGACCACCGTTCACAGTCAGCCCGGAGAGGATCGCCTACTC